AAGATGCTTTCATAAATAAAACTTTTTATTAGAGATATTCATTTTCATTTCCATTTCCTGAGAGCACCCGTATTAGTGGCGCTCATATATTTGCACTCTTTATCAAAAAACAAAAGTGTCTAAGTCTACATATAGTCTATATTCTTGTTTTAAGTATTTTAAGCATCAGCTTCTTGCAAAAAATAATTGGCTAAAGCACGACAAATTCTTTTATAATTGAGGCGCAATTGCATTTGTAATGGTGAATTAGGCGGATAATCTGAATCTAATTTTTTCAAATAATCAACACCGAATAACAACAATCCATAATTGAGTTTATCACAATTAATTATTTCAAACGTAGTATTATTAAATCTATGTAAATGTCGTCTTGCCCACGCATTGACGAATAGTCGATCAGATGAGTTACAAAAGATTTTTATTTCCTGAAGATTATCTGGTATGCTAGTTGCATTTGCTAACCATTGCTGCATGTTTTCATCCCAACCAAATAATGTAATTAGTTTTCGAAGATTTGTCTCAACATAATTCTGACAAAGTGCTGTATCATCAAAAACCCTGATAAATGACATGAGATTAGCATTTGGTAGCGGAACTGCTACAGATACTCCATTTTGTTGGCATAATAAAACTGTCCAATAACTTGCGGGTATATATAAATTATCATCAAATTGAATATTGTCGATAGTTTGCATCTACAATAAAGTATAATGATAAAGTACTTTACATTCTTTTATAGTAAAAACCATCTTGAGGGTTTGGGTGTGTTTGCTATCTTCAACACACACACATACACATCCACACTCACAGCCTCACCCACACCCTCAAGATAAACCAAAATGGTAGTGAGATTATAAAATTCAATGAAAATGTTTATTGAACTTCTTCATACTTTCAAAACGGAACTGTTTCATGAATGAAATGTCGATATATACAGTAATAAATAAAAATGTTCATCGACGAAAGAAAAAGAAAGAATAAAAGTTATTTCCATATTTTAATGGAATTATTATTGTCATCAGATACCATTTTGTATGTCTTTTTCAAATTATTATAGACTTGATTAGCTTGTTCTTCTTTAATTTTTGCCGTAATCATATCACCGGATACCAAATATTGATTCGCTTCTATTTTGTAACATTGATATATTTGATCAGCTAATTCAAAAATGAGATCTTCGCTATTCTGAAATCGTTCTCGATGATCCACTTTGCTTTCGTCATCTTCCAAAATAAAAGTTGCTTTCGTTTGCTTCGGTTGATCTTTCATTGAAGCAGCAAACTCGCTGCTAACAAAGAAAATCGTGGGTTTCTTCGGCAGATTATCAAAATGTATGGTTGAATTATTATCATCAATGCGGATTGCGTTATCTGTCATTTTAATCAGAGTTGTTAACATAGCAAAAGCTGTTGGATTTAAGCGCTTTTTGATGTCGATGATAAAAAATTGAAAGTTGTTGATGCCACCTTAAAAGATCTTGATATTATGAGCCGATACTTATATCGTATCTAGCAAACATCTACATTCACACTCATCATTAGTTAGAAATTCATTTCACAAGAGTTGACTACAAATTCTTACTCACAATCAAGAATAGCAATACATACCTAGTGAACTTTCTGTTTTCTCTTCTATTATTTCCTTTTTATCGCATAATTCAGTATTATTGGTTGTTATTTTCTTTTCATGTACACATTCTGCAGTCGTATCTTGATCGCGTCTAAAAACTTCCATATTCATTGATATCTTTTCTATCAACTTGGTGGTGTTATAAACAATTTTGTGTACTTTAGAATAGTGTTCAGTCCATTTGCTGTGAGCTTTACGATTTGTGTAATACACATATATACCAATAACTGATGACAATGAATGAACATTGGATATGATTTTTTTACCCAATTCATTGGAAACAATTAGAAGAATATCTTCTTTACCATTATATTCCTCTAACCATTGTACACATTGATCACAGTTATCTGTTGAAAGTACACACGGTACAATTTCTTTCAATCGTTCGATACCTGACTGTATTCGCTTGTTTTCATTGATCACTGCATCAAGCCAAACAAATGAAAGCATTCCTAAAACTTGCTTTTTCATACTCATCAAAGTAGCAGAGTCGTCGCTTGATTTTGTCGAAGCTGTGTTGTCGATGATCTTCGTTCTTTTTGTTTGTTGCACTGGAGATGCGTTACGTTTCATTTTTATTAAAAAACTTCTATTGAGTTGTAATTTGTTTTTATCCAAATTGAAAATCAGAAGTATCACCTATTAATCAACAAAGGTTTTGCTGATTAAAAATTGTAATTTAATTCTTTAAATGTGTAGATGTGCGTATGAGTGATTTCTCTCGATTCATATGCGCTCCACACTTACAGCCTTTATATACATCCACAATCTCAAATGCAACTATACTTCTTTCTAAGATCTTATCGCTTTACAACAGTTTGACAAGTGAGTTGTAAAATATTACCTACTCTTCATATAAGTTTCTATTTTCAACCTTCGATATTTTGTATAAAGTTTATCGCCGAATAGAGATATGACTCGGAAGCTTTATTGTCTTGTGATCGGCATACTATATTAAAATAAAACTCTCAAGTCATCTCTCAACACGGCAATAAAGTTTATGCAAAGGATTATACGAAGAAGCGAAGAGGGAACGACTTTTATGCGACGGTATAGTTTCGGAGAGTATGTATGAGATATCCAACAAAAACCTTCTTTTTAAAGTGAACCTTACAACAAATAATTAAATAACCTGTGTTTTGTTCCCTTTTCTACCAACTCTACTAAAGATTTATGTAGTATCTTAGTTTTTTATGGCCAGAAACAAGATCAACAAAGAAGGCTGTTAAAAAACTTCAACCCGTAAAACTCACATCTCTATGGGTAGATTGATTTTTTTTACAACTGATTCGGTTCCAGTGCTGATAAAGCCCGATAAATAATGAGTTTAAAGAACGAACTATGAGTCAAGTTTCAGTCACACAAAATTTTGATAATATAATAATAGGAATAGACTGTGGGTGAGGGTGTTCTATTGACTGCACAGCCACCTGCAGACCTCATCTTGAGGGTGCGGGTCTTTTATTTGCTTTCTGTGTTTACCCACATCTGCACCCACCCACAAATCCGACCACCCTTAGTCAAAATAGTTTACAACGTTTTCTGCTCAACATCAAATGGAAAAATTACAATATGACTTTTGGATGTGCGTGTTATATTCAATTCGCACTTGTCCATCTACCATCGGGGGTAAGACATGATTGTTCTAATATCATCCTACTCATGCACAACCACATTTAGCCAATCCACGTCTGTTTCTTCTTTGCCTTTGTGTGAAGTTTTGATGATTATTGCCAGTGCGATAGTTCAGGATAAAGTGAATCGATACCTCATGTACTTTTCTTGTCTGTTGACAGTGTACTTTTGAAGGAAAGGTTGTATTTCCTGAATTGTAAATAAAACGTTAAATAGGATGGCTCGTTTCTGTAACCAAAATAAATGACAACAATTTATTTGCTAAGTAAAGTCTACATTTGCTAAATAAAATTTATATTTGCTCAGTAAATAATTAAAATCTAAGTGTGGGTGTAAGTGTTAATGTTATGTCATATGCACACCACACTCAGACGACCTAAAAAAAGCAACAAAAGCTTTATTGATACAATAACTGTGTAATTAAATTTTTCACCTATTTATTCATCAATCTTTACTGAGCAAAACTCATATAATTGTTTATTAGTTTATAATAATCTATATAGAAAATTACATTTTTTTGCTAAGAATTCATTTGAGTGAATTACTCAGAAAAAATTGAACTTTCTCCTTAGCATTTCTTTAAAACTACTTTGCATTTAAATATGAGCCAAAAGAAATTACTATATGTGCCCGAGAGATGTGCAAACAATGTTGATAGCGTTGTGTGTTCATCGCTGCTTTCTCGACACTTTTTCACAATCATGCGCTTCTTAACAAGTGTGCTATTGATTTTTTCAGTTTTATGTTACCATCAAACAGCAGCTATAGTATCACCAATTATTATAAGGAAAGTGATTGAATATTCCCAGGTTGAATGTCCATCATGGACAACGGTTCTTTATACAGTGACTAGTCGATCAAAAGTTGCTTGTGTCAGTCTCGGCCTACGAAATGTCTTTTGTCAAACAATACAATATAACGGACACAACAAAGAGTGTACCCTGATAATGGATCGAATATCGTCGAATATGAATTTTCTCTCGAATCCAAATCTGCTCATCATCAATCTCAATCGCGGTAAGTTCTTATGAGAAGGAGAACAACTCAAGTAAGATAGCAGAAACACACTGTATCTCTTGAATTTTCAGTCTAATTTCAAATACATACGAGCACTATCACACTTTCAGCATTTTACTAGAGTCTTATACTAAAATATTGTACTCAGATGTTGTACCTATCCTTTAAGGAAACCAAAGTGATCTTGAATGATTATGAATATTTCTAGATCCTTGTATTGGGCTTCAAACAATTACATTCGATGATATTCCAAATATTTCTCCTACTGACAGTGCCATTCCCAGCAGTTATGCTTGTTTTAATTGGATTAATGGATGGTATGTCAATGCGACAACCAACTCATTTGTTAATACTGGTTATCTAACGGTACTGACTAGTGGTCAATATGTGGCACTCAATCGCAATGGAACAACATTAACGATCAACTTGACTGATAAGTTATTTGATATCGTTTCATTTTTTGTAGCAGCAGCTTATACGAACAGTTTACAAATGATTATCCAGGGATCACGAAATAAGACGTTGATCAATACGACATCAATTACCTTGAATACCAGTACTCGTTTTTTAGTTCAGCTGAATTGGACCAATATCGATAACATCACTATCAGCTCGAGTCCATCCGGTCTTGGCAATCAATTTGCTATAGACAATCTTGTCGTTATATTTTCATGATTGTTTGCATCCTGATTAAGGCAAACTGAATAGAAGCCTTTCTAAAAGAAAACAGCAGATTTTAGTATTAGTTTATTTGAGAGTCCGTTACATATGTTTTTGTTGATTTCTACGTTTTGCTGTATTATCATAGATCAAGACCTATGAAAGGCAATTCTTCTTCTCTTTATTTTTTCTTTACTTATCACCACACGACTCGATATATCAGTGCTCACGAAAAATATTTGATAAAAGAAACACTTGAAATGCTTAGTGTCCTTCTGAAAATGAGCATAGAATATGAAGTACGTTTTATTTGTTTCTTATCAGAGCTGATAAATAAAAACGACAAAGTGCATCGTTATGCAATGATCGATGTGACGCATGAAGAAATCCTATGGGTTGTATATTTTTTGCAAAAAGAAAGCTTTAGAATCACTTGGGAGTGTGGCGTGTTGGCTGTATTCTTCTCATACCCGCACCTACATCCATCTTTGAATCAATTGTAAAACAAACATTGAAATCAAATAAAAAATCTTTCTCAATCTGAGCAAAAAATAGATTTTTTCCAATTTGTTGACATAAGTTGTCCTTGATTTTCTTTTTATTTATTGAAATCTTCTTTATTCATTTTTGTTCCTCGATAAACAATTAATATTTTTTCTTCGGATGACAAAAGTTTTTCATGTTTATGTTCAAGATTTTCTGAAAGATCATTAATAAAGAATTGAAATATATGTACTTGATCAATGTCTTTAGT